AAAAACTCAGGGAGTGAATGAGCTGCAAGGGAGACTAGGAGTGAAAGTGTGGATGACTCTGACACACCCTTATTGCTAGAGCCAAGTCTCACTGATGGGAAGGGGAGATGAGGCAGAGTGGCTTCGAGGGGCAGGTTTTTGTATCTTCTCTGTCTCCACTCTGCCCCAGCTAATGAGCAGCCCTGGGCTTGGCTGGAGGGCTGAATAATCCATCAGTGTTTATGTCTTGTACAAAGCTGATGGGTCCGTTGTTGAGAAAATATCTTGATTGATCCCTGACATGGGAAGGAGGGTACACAATGAGCTCAGCAAGAGGAAAACTGGAAATTGGCCAGACCCTCACTCAGGGCTCAGACCCCTGATAGATGGCCAGAAGTGGATGAGGTGATAGCTGGGGAAGTAGGGGAAAGAAGGAGGAAAGGAGATCTCTTTGGGCACAGAAAACTGACAGCAGTGTGACAGACAGTATCTCCTAATACTCACACTGAATTCTTCATTGCTGGAGCCCCTGTTCCTTCACAGAGCTTCCTCATCCCTTCATGGAACTCTGTTCTTCTCCTCACTGAGCACTCATCTCTTCATCCACATCACGGAGCCCCTATCCCCTATAGAAATTCAAGCTCTTCTCACAGACTCTCCAACCAAATCCTTGAGCCTCATTCCTCTCATTAAGCCTTCATCTCCCTCACTGAACCTTCAACCCACTCACTGAGCTCCTATCGTCTCATCACAAAACCCTCAGCCCCCAAATTAAGCCCTTGCCACTTAGAACTGGAGAATCTTATCACCTTCCCTCATTTGTAAAATGGTGATGATAAATGTAACACTGACCTCAAATGAGATAATATATAGAAAACATCACCTAAATGTCAGTTATTATTATTGGTGATTGGGAGGGGCATTGGGGGCTCAAGACACTGCTGGTTCCTCATGGAACATGAACCTTAAAGTGGTACTCTATGGCCAGAGGGAACTTAGAATCCTTTCCTTAGACTGGAAGGGACCTTGGAGAAAACCTAGCCCAAACCCCTTCCTTTTACAAATAAGGAAACTGAGGCTGAAATAGGTTAAGTGACACTAAGTGGGGAAGTTTTCATTTGAACCCAGGTTTTACAACACCAAACCCAGGGTCCGGTTCCTATTTCCTTGGATCTTCTCTGGATCCCAACTTTTCGAACACACTAACTTTGATGCCTCTTAGACTCTACTTATGCAGCTGCGAATATTTTAAAACTGCTGTCTTGAATAATTTTCATCTAAATACAAATTCTCACTCACATTAAAACCCACTGACCCCAGGATTCGTATTTTTTCCTCCTCTTATTCCTAAACACCATAGTACAGGGTCCTGTAACTTTGTCCAGACACTGAATGTGGATCCCTCCAAATTTCTGTCTCTGACTCTCTCTCTCCATTCTCTCTCTCTTCACCATCACACTCCATCTCCCTATCTCATACACACACACACAGGAGCATATATTCCCACACTTGGATACATACATATACATGCACACTCACACATACATATGAATTTTGACATACCATATTCCCTAAACAGTTGAAGACACTCATACCCACATATTCATTCATACTCATGCATAGAGACACATACATTTTCATTGTCAAAGATATATACACATACAAACATAGGCATGTAGTACCTACTCATGTTTACACACACACATGCACATACATATTATATGTATGTGTGTATATGTAATATAAAGATACACTTCTACATCCTCATACCATCTGACACCATAACACATGACACTTACCCTCTCAGGATCCCCACTTCAGACAGACTCAATGATGCTCTTCCCATTGGCCCCTGTGAACCTAGCTTCCCTCTAAAGGTATGAAATCCAACATACTCTAGACGTCAGTATCTTGGGACTGAGGGGAAAACCAGGTAGGATATGGCTCAGGCTCTAGGGCCAGATGAGACGTCTGGAACCCAGAGATGGCTTCACTCTTCTCTTATCTCAACCTACCACTGGGCTTGTTTGTCAGGGGGACAGACAGGCTGGGGCTGGGGCCCTATCCTTCCCAATGAGAATCTGATTTCCACCTCCTCTAGCCAGCCCAAGGAGCACTAGAAGACCACACCCCAGTCTTCAAGTCCAGATGCTCTCCGGGGGCTAGCCGTGCTTCTGGCTACAAGCAGAGGAAGGGAGAGCAATTTCAATGTAAGCTATTATTACAGATAAATCACAGAGCTGGAAGTATTTTGATACATGCATAATTGCATATTTAATATGAAATTATATCTGTATCCTTTGAAACAGAAGAGGGAAAAAAGGTCACTCTCATTGAAATCATAGAATGATAGAACCTCTGAACTGGAGGGGTGCCTGAAGGATTATCTTATCATTCACCCTCATTTTTCAGATGAAGAAACTGAGGCTCATAGAAAGGAAGTAACTTTCCTATAGTGAGACTAGTTGTTGGTAGGGTTGGCATCTGAGGACCCCGGACCCAGGTCTTTTGGCTCCAAATCTAGCGATCTTCCTATTACAGGAAATGTTGTCTCAGAAGCCCCATTCACGGACAATGATTGCAGTCCCCAAGTTCTAACAGTCTATGAATTATTACAATTATGATTATTATTAGCAAAAGGCTCAGTTGATCAGGAGTTAGCTGGGTCAAAGAACAGGATTCTGAGAGGGTGGAATACAGGACACTTCATTGTTGTGGGGGTTGGGGAGAGTGGAGGGAAACTGGGGTGGGGGGAAGAAGAGAAAGAATTACTTGGGTAGAGTGTAGTGGTGAAGTGGAGAAAGATGGACCACTAAGAACTCTTGATGAAGGAAGTGTTGTGTGAGGCAGTCCCTGCCCTGAAACTTACTGTGTGGTCTTCAGACACTCATTTTCCTTCTCTTGGCCTCAGCTTCCTCATCTGTGAAATGATGGGGTTCAGCAAGGCGCTGAGATTTCTTCCAGCTCTAAATCCTATAATATCTGTGATCCCATGAAATGGGAAGTGAATAGTACAGAAAACTAGCCATGTGGTTCTCATGGCATCTCACCATGAGGACCAAGCATTGGGATCATTGGCTCATAGAATTTTAGAATCTCTAAGATGGAAAAGGACCTTCCCAATCATAGAACTATAGGATTTAAAGCTGGAAGGGACCTAGAGATCAGCTAGCCTAGCTCCCTCTTTTCTCCTAGATCAACAGGAATCCTTTTTACAAATTTCTCTCCAGCCTTTCTTCTGGGGAGACTTAGAGACATGTCTGTGATCTAGTTAAAAAAAAAAGGCTCTCTCTCTCTCTCCCTTTATTATTTCCTTTTTTCTCTCTGCCACTGTCCTATCTTTTCCTAGCTTTCTCTCCTTTCCCTATCTCTCTCTCCTTCCATCTCTGTCTCTCCCTCTGTATTGATCTCTTCTTTCTCTTTTTTTTTCAGTCTTTCTCCTTGTCCCTCTTTTTTCACTCTGTCCCAAGTTTTCTCTGTTTAGCTCTATCTCCATTTCTTTCTTCTCCATCCCTCTACCTCCTTCTGGTTCAACCTGTCTCTCTTTCTCTCTCCCATTATTTTCTCAGCCCATAGACTAGGCACTAATCCTCCCCTTGAGATCTGTCACCTCATTCACTTGAGTTCCCATTTAGAATAAATAAGCAGCTCTCTCCGAGCCAGGAGATAGATCTTTAAGGGAGCTTGGAGATGGGATCCTGCTCCTTCTGAGGAATACCTTCTCCCAAGTCATTTATGGCCCTCCTGATGCCACCCATAGACAATCTCTCTGAGTACTAGGAGGCTTGAAATGTGCCATGAAGAAGAAGCAATCTCCCCAGCCTGAGACTCACCCCAACATCCTGTACTCTTGCTGGCTGTGATTATACTCTTGGAGGGAGAGCCTAAAGCTGACCTAGAGATTTCAAGGAACCCCTATATAACTGCCAAGAAACCTCACAAGTACTGGTAAATACAGGACAATCAAAGGACTTGGGGGGGGGGAATGCTTAAATACAATGTGACCAGAGACCAGTTAAAAGGAACCTCCAACACAGGACCCCTGGGAAGAGGAGCCTTTGGCACAGATCTGCCAACTGTCTTTAGGGAGAAGATCTAAACGCATTGATACCAAAAAGCCCTGGGAAGGACCCTTTAGACACAGGAGACCCCAAGGGACTTCTGGAAGGGGAATTTCTAAACAGCAACCAAAGATTCCGGAGGGAGCTGCTAAACGCAGCACAGCTAAGGACTACTGGGGTCCACCTCCAAATACAGAGTTGCCAAGAACTCTTGGGGAGATGTAGACAGATACCCAGGAATTATGTTAAGATACCTTAAACATAGACAGCACAGACTCCTTTGGAGAGGGAAACTTTGAACACAGATCCACCAAAGACCTTTAGGGAGGAGGTCTTAACCAGAACTTCCTAGAACCCCTGAGAAGACCCCCTTAGACGTGGAGCTAACAAAATGCCTGGGAATGGGAACCCTAAACACAGAATGACCGAGGGCTCCTGGGGCAACTCTTAAAAATAAGGGTTTCTGGGGTGGATCCCTAAACACTGTTATACTAAGGATACCTAAGAGAATGTCTGAAAACAAGGCCACCAAGAACCCCTGGGAGGGACACTTTAGACACAGACCCAACAAGGACTCCCCGGGGAAGCCCTAAAAACAGACCAACAGCTTCTGAGAGGAACCCACAAATACATAGTCACAATATCTATGGAGCTCAAATAGAACTCCCAAGGACCTGTCGGGGACCCTTAGATGTTTAGCTGCCAAGGGAGACGGGGGTCTTAAAAGCGAAGCCATCAAGTTCTCCTGAAGGAACCCTTCGACTTTGCCCCCCAGACTCTAAAGAACTCTAGCTCTTCTCCATCTCCCTATCCAGTCCAACTCCTTTCCTTAGGAGTTGACCTCTTCACCCTCCCTTTCTCTCTTCTTCCCCCCCCCCCCCCCCCTCCCCCCCGCCCCCCCCCCCGCCCACGGAAGGAGAAAACGGTCGGAAGGTCTGAGGGAGTTACAGAGGCACTTACCAGTGCGTAAACGGAGCTGAGCACGGAGCAGCAGAGGAGCAAGGCAAGACTGTGCGAGATCGAGATCCGGGGCGCTCCCATCGCCGCCGTTCCCTAGGGCCGAGTCCAGCGGGGCTGGGGACAGAATGGGCCGGGCCAGGACGGGCGGGCCGGGCCAGGAGGGAGGGGTGGTGGTGATGGCGAGGAGAGAAGGGAAGGCCTGCGGGTTAGCCAAGGGGGCGCAGGAGGCGTCTTCGACCCCCTCGCCCCCCTCTCTCCCTTTGCCCTCTTTCTTCTGGATCTCCGGGAGTTCGTTCCCAGACCTAGGCTGCAAGAAAGAGGCGGAGGCAGAGGCTACCGCCCCGAGGCTCTAGACGTCTCCTCCCGAGGCTCTGAGAAGCCCCAGAGCCCGTCACTGGCTCCATGTGCTGGGCGAGCGCGACCGAGTCGGAGAGCAAGCGGAGAGGGCGAGCAGAGCGCAGTGCGCTGGGTTAGCTTGCTGGGTATCTGCCTCGGAGTAGGGAAATCACATCCATATGTCAGAGCTGCTCTTCTCCCCCTCCCAGTCCCGCCCCCAACTCCCCCCTCCCCTTAATGGGAAGTTCGAGTCGTGGTTTTGTCCAACGCTCAGGGGTGGGGTGGGGGTAGCAAAGACGGGGGTGTGGCCTGGGGGTTGCAGAGGCTGCAAGGGGTTGGAATCCTGGGGGGCTACGTGGGAGAGGGGGCCTGAGGCGGTGTGGACTAAGGAGTCTGGGGGTTGTGGATGCCGGTCTCCTTGTGTGTGTGGAGGGGTGGAGGTTAGGGGGTGTGGGAGCCGGCACGTGGGGGTGTTGAGGGGGTAAAAAGGGAGCAGGGGTTGGAGTGGGATGGGGAGTGGTAATGAGGTGGGGATGAGAATGGAGAGGAGAGAGAGAGGGGGGTGGGTGGGATGGGATTAAGGAGTGGATTGAGAAAGGGGTAGTAGGAGGATGAGATGGGATGGGGAAGGGGAGTGGTCAGACGGGGGTGGGGGAGGAGGAGTGGTTTGGACTGGGGGAAAAGGGGGAATGGGCTGGGGAAGGGGAGTGGTCGGGGCCCAGAGGGGGAGTGGGCGGGGCTGGGTGAAGGGTGGTCGCAGAAGTCCGGGTGTATTTTTAGATCTGGTAATTTTATCTTTTCCAGGTTTCTAGGGAAGGGGGGAAGGAAAGCGCCGAAGGAGACAGTGAAGGGGAGGGAAAGGATGGGGGTTGTAGGGTAGCGTTTTTCTGCAATTTAAACAGCGCCTGGTCGTAGGGGGAGAAAGTCTTGTTCAACTTTGCAGTAACACTCAAACCTACAGTAGTCGGAGGCTGGCGGCCGCCAGCTCCCGTCCCCAGCCCCGGCCCCTTCTCCTCCCATCCCTTCCCTCTTTTCCCTCCCTTCCCTCCCTTCCCGGGCCTGGCCCGCCGGCCCGGCGGCTTCCCTCTCATTCCCTCATTTTCAGTCTTTGGGCCCAGGATCTGCTTCCCCTCCTTCCCCCAGCCCCCTCGCACTGTCTGCCTGTCCAGCTCAGTCTCTGTCTTTCTTTTTTCTTCCGTCTCAGTCTGCCGGTCTTTCGGGTTCCCTTTCAGTCTGTTTCCCTCTCAGTCTCCCTAGGTCTTTTTTCTCCGGCTTTCTCTGCCTTCCTCCAGGCGTCCCCCTCCCCTCCATTTGGGTCTCTCTCAGTGTCTGTCTCTCCTTACCTCCCCTCTCCCTTTCTCTTTCTGTAGCTGCTCTCTCCATCTGTCTCTTCTTAGTCTCTGCCTCCACCTCTGTCTCTTTCTCTTTTAGTCTCTGGTGCTGAAGTCCTTCTTCTTCTTCGCTCTGTCTCGCCCCCACCCCCATCCCCCGAAAATATTTGCAAGTTTCCAAAAAAGCCCCGAAGCGGAGCGGGAGGAGGGCGGGCTCTGGGCCCTGGGGCTGCTACATTAGCGGGCTGCCCCAAGACGGCGTCTTAGGAAGGGAAAGGTACAGCACCCCCGGCCTGCTCGGCTCCCCATCTGTCCTGACTCCGAGCTCCCAGCACATCCACTCCACCCTCACATTACATGCACACTACACACAAATACACACACTAACACTTACTCTGAGCCGGCAGCCTCGGGCCCCGCTTTGCCATGGATGTCGGGGACCCCCCGACGGCCCCCCGAGGACAGCGCCCCGTCCGCGATCCCGGGGGGACTTCATCGGGCGCCGGGGCCCCTTCCTACTCCCCCTCCCTGCACCCGCCCTCCTCCTGCTCCTCCCCACCTCGTCCACCCCACTCCTCTGGTCCTCGGCCTCCTTTCTCTCTTTTCAGGCTGTCTCTCTCCCTAATTCTATTTCCACGACTGTTTTTGCTGCCTCCTTCTTTCTCTGTCCCTTTCTCGCTGTCTTTCCCTCTGGTTCCCTTCTTCGCTACCCAGCTACTCCGGCCCGGAACACTACACTGACAGTGTTTACAGGGAGAGGAGGGGGGAAGGAGGGGAAGGAGGAGGGGGAGGAGGAGGGATGAATTGGGGGAGGAGTCCTGAAGTCCCAGGTTATAGGGCAGGGAGGGGGACGCCATGAGCCTCCCACCCCCACCCCAGTAACCTCCGAACCCAGACCGTGAGTCCTTTCCAAAGTTTGTGTGTGCTGGATGCTGGTGGGGTCCAGGGGCATTTGTCTCACCATTCCCGCTGGACCGGTTCATTCATATCCCCTGGTGGCCCGGAGAATTGGCTTTGGGGAGAAGGAGTTGATTTTTTTCTTTCCTTTCCCCCACCCCACGCCCCCCACTTCAGACTTTGGGTTCTTGAGAAGAGGATGGCTGGGGAAGGGAAAGTTAGGCAGAACACAGAGGGATTACGCCCCCATTCCAGGCACTACGTGGCCCCAGAGAATGGGGCTGCCCATCTGTGGTCCTTAGTGTGTCCATCAGTCCCTTCATCAGTCTCTCCTTTAGTCCTTTCCCAGTTCACTCCGAAGGTGGGGGCTCTGACGACCCACTTTATTATTTTTTTTCCCATGAAATTGCTATTGGGTTAATTTTTTCCCCCTCCTAATTGCAACAGCCCCTCAGTGTCTGAATAGGTGCCTTCAGTTCCTTCATGAAAAGGCCCCTCTTTCCAGGGCCGGAGCAAGGTTTCCTGGTAAAGCCAGAAACCTCTCTCTCTCTCTCTCTCTCTCTCTCCTTTTCTATTTATATCTGTCTCTTCTCTCTTTTTTTTTCCTGTTCTGCCCTTTCTGCATCCCTTTCCTTCTTTTCTCTCTTCTCCCTCTGAAATCTTTCTCTCCCTCTTCCTTGTCTCTCTTTTCCTTGCTTTCCTTTATCTGCTTCTCTCTCTCAAGCCCAACTTCGATAGCTTATGTAGGTAGAGGGGCTGTGAGATCTGAGAGGCAGGTGGGTATATAGCAGCTCCCCTCTCTTCTTTTTCTGTCTAGGTCCTCAGACCCAGAGCATTGAAAAGGCAGGAAATTGGAGGGCTGGGTCCTTGAGTGCAGGGAGCCCAGCTCTTTATTTGAAAGCCCTCTTTCCTCACTTCCCTTTACTGAGATACCTCTGGTAGTTAGAAAAAGAGGAAAGATCCAGAGGAGGGGAGGCCTCCTGTGGATTTTTTGGGTAAAGACAGGAATGATAAGATTCTAGTCTTGGGTTACAAGGTGAGAAAGGAAAGGGGAGAATTTGAGACCTCTAGAGCTGGCTTTGAGATGAGCTGGTGGAATCTCCTGCCATTCCTCCCTCCCTCCCCATTCATTTAAGAATTGGGAAACTGAAGCCTAGAGAGGGGAAATGATTTGCCTAGGGTCATATATCTAGTTAATGAGAGAACTGGAACTAGAACCCAGGTCTTCTGATTCTTAGCTGGAGTCTATTTGTATTACATATAGGATGAAGGACCAGAGATGGGCTGTTTGAGGAATATGGGGGCTCAGGGAAGGAATCTGTATTCAGTGGAAAGGAGATATGACCAGCAAGAGGGATGCTGCTGCTGCTTGTTCTAGAAGAGGACCATGACATCAGGGAGGAGATGCCATGAAATATGAGGGAATTGGATTTAAGTGAGGGAGAGCTGTGCAAAATCGCCAACCTCACTTTATCCTCTGGAGCCATCTGGGTCCAGTGGCTAGATATAGATCAGGACGACTGGAGATGGCCCTGCACCTTCTTCAAGAGGCCTTTCCTGATTACCCCAGTCCATACCATGAAAGCTTACTGGAGGAAATGGGGACTGACTCAGTTATAGGAATGGGGGAGTGGTCTGGTACACTGTCTTGTGCTACCATTGGTTAAGTGGAAATGGATAAGATGAATTTCGCAGCAGGGTTTGGAAGAGAGAAATATCAGCCTTTTATCAGGACATAGCTGATCAAGAGTACAGTAAAGACCCATTCCCTAGGGATGAGAGAGTTTCCATTTTCCTCTCTGAGGAATTTGGCCATCATGGACTCTGAAGTGAAGTAGAGTCTTTCCCCCAATACTTGCAGTGGTCACTTAAATGAAAACAGTGAAAGTACTGGGTGAGAGTCCATTTCACTTTAGAGGCTGTGATTGCCAAATCCCTCTTAGCCATTTTTATTTGCTCTTTTTCAGTCTGAAGATTATTCTCCTTTAGATAAGAGAAGCAAAATAGGTGTTGGGTGGTGTTGTGTACAATGGAAAGTGCACTGAACTGAAAGTCAGAAGACCTGGATTTGAGTCTTGGCTTATTTTACTACCTGTGTGATCTTGGGCAAGTCCTTTGCTCTCTATGAGTCTCAATTTCATTATCTGTAAAGTGGGGGCATTAAGTGGAAATTGATTCTAAAGTCTCTTCTGGCTCTAACATTCTGTGATTTTGTAATCTAACAGAATCATTATCTCTTCCAACTGGACCTGCCACTTCCTTACTCTTTGCATCTCACCCTAGATAGTAGTTGCTGCACTGAAATAAATCAACAATGTCTTTTACATTGTCCAGAATAGTTATCATTCTTAAGACTTCCACTATGGAGACTTTCTCTGAATGAACTAATATATCCTTCTTCTCTTGTGTTTGGGAGATGGGAGATGGCGACTTAACGGGGAGTCAACTAGCACTCCTGGGAGATAGATAGGGGTGACAGTCATTTTGTAGTGAATGTCAAAAAGGTTTAATAGTTGATTTCATTTCTTATTTCCTTATATTGTTTCATAAGTTGCCTTTTATTTTGAATTCCTGTATCATCTGGCTTGGTTTGATATAAAGAAGTAAATTTATGGGGACTCGAAGGTATGAATTTGAATAGGTGACTACTCCAATAATAGCATGTAGCTGAGTGCAATTATGAGGGAGGCCACAATGGGGGGGATCCAGGACACATTTGGAAAAGATCTGAATTTGGAGGGGGATTATGAATTCAATATAAGTTTGACATGGTAGCAAAAATGCTAATGCTATTACAAGCTGCACTGAGAAGACTAGTATCCAAGATGATAGTTCTCCTATCCTACACCACACCTAGAATATTGGCACCATATTTTAATAAGTGCATTGAAAGAGTGGAGTTTGCCAATTAGAACTTTTTAAAAGTAAAATGGCTGCCTTGGGAGTTGGGGAATTCCTGGAGGTTTTTAAATGGATGCTAGATGACCTTTTGTTGGTGATGTTGTAGAAGTGTTTTGCATTCAGGGACCAGCTGGGCAAGATAGCCTCTGGGGTCCCTAACTCTCAAATTCTGTAATCCTGTGAGTTAGGTGCCCAGACCCAGAAGAGTTATACCCCATGGATGGTGCTGAAAAACTTAAAAATGTGATTCTGAAACTGTTGTTAATAATACCTGAAAAATCATGGAGAAGTATCTATAGGAGTATCTATAGATATATAGTATCTATATCTATATCTATATAGTATCTATAGATATATAGATATAAGTGTCTATAGAAGGCTATAGTAAATGTTATCTTGATTTTCTTACAGGAGAGGAATGGGGATGAGGAGAAATAGATTCTGGAAACTATATGCCTGTGATTTAACCTTGATCCCCAATAAAATTCTAGAAGGAATTATTAAGTAAATTATTTTGAACACTTAGAAAAGAAAAAAGGGAATCACTAGAAGCCAGTATAGGTGCACTAAGAGCAAGTCATGCCAGACTAATTGTTTTTTTTTTACATGAAGTTACTAGAGTGGTAGATTGGAGGAATTTCATAGAGAATTCATATTGATCTTAACAAAGAATTTTACCAAGTCTCTCATGATATATTGGTGGATAAGGTGAAGAAATGCTAGATGAGTTGTAGTACAATTAAGTAGATACATAGCTGGTAGAACATTTCTATCCCCAAGCTATTAGGTTTTTTTGGATCAATGTCAACCTGGAGAGAGGTATGTCATACCCCACTCCAAGGCTGTCATTGATTTTGCTTTGTTAAGTGTTTCGGTCAATGTCTTGGATGAAAATCATTTACTTGAGTCCTCCTTTGATGTCTAATCATGGCTCAGAGGTGACCCTGAATCCCTGAAGGAAATGTTGGAAAGGTTCCAATTTTGTCGTGTTGTACCAAGCTGGAAAGGCTTTAAGAACAGCTCGAAGGCTGGCTGTCATTCAAGGACCAGCCTACCTAAGTTCAGAGAGATTCATTGATGGAAGGTTGCCCAAGAGAGGATGACTTTTTTTTCAACCATGGCCATTTATTGAGGTTAGGAAGGGTGGTGATCTGTATCAATGGAGGGAATACCTATACCAATTAAGTAAGAAGCACTGGATAAAGACATGTATGGCAAGTTCATTACAATATGCAAATGACATGAGGCTAGGAAGGATAACTTGAAAGATAGGAGTGGGATGGTATGAGACAGGCTGAAATGAATCCTGAAGAGGGTGACCAGGATAACAAAGGGCATGGAGGCCATTCCATATGAGAAGCAGTTGAAGGAATTGGGAATTTTTAACTTGAAAAAAAAAAAAAGACTGCAGGGGGAGACCACAAATTTAAAATATCTGAAGGCTTGTCATATAAAGAGACTTAGTCTGCTTGGTTCCAGAAGTAAGAACTAGGAGTAATGGTAGAAATGACAGAGAAATAGATTTTGTCTCAAGAAAGTTCAATTTCACAAACATTTACTAAGTGCCTACTTCGTTTAAAGTACTGTGCAAGGAGTGTCGCGTCAAATTTC